TTACCTACATTTCACTGTTATTTACACTTGCCATAAGTCTATGTTATGTTACCTATGAAACCAATATTTAGGCTGATGGAATAAATGTCTTGAAACAATTTAGTAATTGGCATTAGGGTAGTTTAGTCTCTAGGTTTTTGGTTAGTTTAGGAGTTTTGTAGGTTATAAACATGACTGTATATTACATGCATTTTCTTTTCTTAAATCTAGACGTGTTAGTGAACCCGTTTTAAAGTACAATTTGCTTCATGTCTGGGCCCCTTATTCTCAAGCTTTCGATAGCTTATCAGGGCGTTCCATTTCACATCTCCATTATCTCTTATGAATGGTACTTATGTTTTTTATCTGTTTTTATAAATACATTTGTAACATGATTTTAACTGTACCATGCACTGTATTACACTGCAGGTCAGCTATTCAGATCAAAAATTGCTGCTGCACAATCTCATCTGAAACAAAACTTAACTTTCCTAAAGATTTCAAAGATGTGCTTGTGTTTTTTGGACATCAACACTCTACACCAAGACTGACACAACTCAGTGTTTGTCAGCAGGGAACATTTCTCTCAAGAGGGTTATGTAACACCACAGCCAAATAGCTGTAAATAACAGTGACGGAGACACTGGCAGAAGAGCACTGTTGTAACCAATCATCAGGTCAAATATCACTAAATACTTACAAATAAAGCCCTAATTCCACTAAGCAGTCTGATATGGTTCAGTTCAGTTCCGTACACATTTTTTCTGTTTCCACTGTGAAAAGTTGTGGATGGTACCAATGGAACCGTTCTGTGCTGTCCCCATTTTTGGCCAGACCTCTGTCAGGGTACCTACAGTAGCACACAGATCTGGTACTAAAAGGTGGAGCCAAAAACACTGCAGTGGTCAGTAGAGGACGGTCAGTATTGCTCAGGGCTGAGTTGTGGCTGGTTTTAAAGCTTATGTACTTACTGTTCACACAGTGGCAAGTGTTATTAGTTAACTATAACTATAAAATGAAAGGATGTTTTGCTGCCTTTTGCAGCAGCTGTAGACTGAGAAAAAAATTACCTAATTCACTGGGCCGACTTTCAGGTGGAACCTTTACTTGTAATGTTACTCAGTGTTTGAGTTGACAACGGGAATCCATCAGCACTCCTTAAATTTCAATATGACAGCTTCCTAACCCATGTATAGCAAAGTATGCATACCATAATGAGACCAGTGAGAGAGCAGCAGTGATACGAAAATGAAAGTGCGATGAAAGGCAGGCTGAAAAACAAACAATATTAGATCAGTTCTGGGCAGCAAAAACACATTTTTACAAAGCTGAATCCTCTTTTTTTTAATAGAGGATGGCACTAAAGCGTTAAATGGACGGATTCTTATTGTTGTGACATTTAAGCCCCATCTCATTAAATCAATCCAGTATGTGGAAGGGCAGTGAGTCTTCTAAATTAGCCCTCCTGACTGATTGCATTCACTCGTCTATCCTGGATGGATGAGTGTGTGTGTGTGTGTGTGTGTGTGTGTGTGTGTGTGTGTGTGTGTGTGTGTGTGTGTGTGCGCGCACGCGAGCCTGTTTGTTTGTTTGTGTGTGTTTGTATTAATGGTACATTACATTAGCAGCTTGTCATACCAACCTCTCTATAGAGTGGAACATCACAGAAACAAAATCATTAATCACATGCCTCAGTAGATGGATGGATGCTGCGTTTGTATCTCTGCATGTCTGTAATGCAGCCAATGTATTGGCTGTGTTCTTGTCATTGTGTGTGTGTGTTGACCTAAAATTACTTTCAACCAATATCATTTTGGGCTATGTTAAAAGATATCTCATTTTAATGTTTAAAGAAAGCAGCCACATATACAGTAATGTTGTAAATATACAAGAATCCAAGTTCGTAACCTTTTGTGAATAGAGGTGCTTCATTACAGATTTGGGGAAAATTGGATTAACAGCACAGAAGGATATTATGGAGAGAAATAGGCAAATAAATAAATATGAAAATAGTCACATTACTACTTAAATTTTTAACAGGGTAACTAGTAATCTGTTTCCTATAACATTTCGGAAGTAACCTGCCCAATGATGTTGACACTCTGTTAAAATTAACAGTCCTCAGGGCGCTGAGTAGCGCACCTGGTAGAGCAGATGCCCCATGTACAAAGGCTGTGTCCTTGTTGCAGCGGCTGTGGGTTTGATTCCAACCTGTGGCCTTTTGCTGTCCTGTCAAGTAAAGGACAAAAAAAGCCGAAAATCTTTTAAAAAGTTTGGTGTCCTCCAGCTCCCTACAGAGTTTATAGTCCCCAATTGCCCACATCTTTCTCTCCACATTGGGATGGATATCTATTGGATGTCTGTTTTTATGCCTCTGAGCTGGCAACAGCTTTTGCAGGAGGCATTATGTTTTCAGATTGTTCAACTGTTGTACATATGTACTTATGTCCCATTCTTGTGAACGTATTCTCTTAAGAATGCCATGAAGGAATGCATTTTTCAAATTTTGAAAAAACAATCACTTGGACTCAACAATAAACTGATTTGATTTTGGTGGTCAAGGGTCAAAGGTCAAGGCCAGCATGAGCTTGCATCCATCTCATTTTCATAACCCAATGTCCCAATTACAGCTTGAGGTAATTTCTTAAAATTTGGCACAAACGTCTGGATTCAGTGATAAATTGATTAATTATATTGGTCAAAGGTCAAGTTCATTGTCACCTCATCTTTCTCATTCTTGTGAATGTGATATCTCAAGAATACCTTGAGAGAATTTCTTCAAACCTGGCACAAACATCCCCTTGGACTGAAGAATAATCTGATCAGACTTTGGTGGTCAAAGGTCACTGTAGGATGTCCAATAGGATATAATAATTAAGATGACTTTGATGAGTTTATATCCAAAAGGTCAAAGGTCAACTTCACTGTGACACACTTTTTCTGGTCAATACTCAATATCATATCTCAGGAACAAAAGGGGAGATGTTTGGTCAGATACTGAATTGGTGACACTAATCTTGGGTGTGAAGTGCAACGATTTTCCGTAGAATGCTGTCCACTTGCTTGCGGCTCCCATGTTGGGCTGTTTAGCGATGTGGTGCCAAGCACTCTGGCCAGTTCGCTTTCTTCAGTAGCAGTTTCAATGTCTAGTCTATTTTTTTTCCACGAGTGAGTCTGCCAAGAATACACACCGAAAATATTAACGACATTAACTGTATATTAACTGAGATATAAATGATTTGACTGTGATAAATTAAGAATATGCATCTCATGCTTCAGCATATTTGTCAGTTGTGTCCAAACAGAGAGTGAGAGAGACGAGCAGAGCCACACACTCACTCACACACATGCACATACACAGAGACACAGGCTGAAAGAAACCGAGCTCTCTCTTTACCTGTCACCTGTTATGCCATATGTGCATAATTCAATTTTAATATTTAAATAACTCCATAGATAATTCTTTAATAATAGTGTTCTTCTACTTGTGAGTAATTTTCTGTGGCTGGTGCAGCTAGCTCTGGGTTTCTCACAACAAAAATGTTATATATGCAAGTGAAGTATGAGCCCAGCAAAGATAACACATCTGCCTACACTTAAAAGTCACACCAACAAAACCAAAACTGGCTCTGAGTGTTACACTGTGACTTCAGACATTCTTGTGTAGTCTCAGTGGCTTTGAGTTGAGCTCATACATTTTCATCACCTCATCTCTGTCTGCTGTATACAGTCTTACAAGGCTACATGACAAAGTCTTTTGTTCTAGAAATAGCTGCTACTAAAATATGTCTCTGTGACACAAAAAGTGTAACTCCATGTTTCTCGTACCTGCTCACTGTGATGAATGTATTTGTCACAGTTTAGTGATGTGCTGCTGTTTGTACTGTATGCTTTGGAAGAGTCCCTGTTTTTTTCATATAATATTTAAATGGTCATTTTGATCGAGAAGACAAAAAATTGTGACTGACTTGTACGAACTTTGAACAGAAACAGTAGCAACATCTTTCATCATTAAGTTTGTCCCATGTATGCCAGAAACTAGGGCTGCAGCTAGTCATTATTTTCATCATGGATTAATCCGCCCAGTATTTCCTTGGTTAATTGTTTTGTCAATAAAATGTCAGAAATTAGTGAAACATGCCTGTTGGGTAATGTCCCAGAGCAGAAGATGACGCATTTTAATGGTGTGTTTTAGCCAACCAACATCCCAAAAATCTAAAGTTAGTAAGTTTATTATCATGTAAGACGAAGAAAAGCAATACATTCAATTAAGAAGCATGAAACCAGCAAATCTTTGGCTTCTTTATGCCTCTGCACTGGCAATAAGCAGTAGCTGGAGGCATTATCTATCTGACATGGTCAAGGTATATGTGCCTGCTAGGCCCCTAAGATCCTCTGACTCTCTGGACACTCTGGAACAGCCTGCCTGAAGGTCTTAGGGGCTCTACATCTATTGAAACGTTTATCTTGAGAGACATCTTTTTCCATTGCTTTCTCCTGAAACATATTTTTAACTGATGGATGTTTTATCTTATCTTACCCTGTAGTTTTAACTGAATTTTACTTCATCTTACTGGCATCATAATGTTCTGCATGAAACACTTTTCTGGCCATTACTCAACACCATACTCAGGAACAGAAGGGGAGACGTTTGGTCAGATACTGAATTGGTGACGCTAATCTTGGGTGTCTACCTTGAAATTGTGCTGATTGTATAGATATTCTTTGCTGCCAGGTTGAAGATGTGTGTGAAGCATCCACATTTTCACAGACATGGATATAAAATGTAAGAGAAACTTGACTGTTGTGAGGAGACATACAACCGTGGGGTGATAATTCTAGTTTTTCTTTAAAGTAGTAATTAAAATGTCTATTCAGTGATCAAAATAGTTGCTCATTTTCTGCCAATCGATATACCAGTTAATTGACAAATTATTGCAGCTGTACCAGAAACATGCTTCAGCTACTGTAGTGTGTCTCTGTAGTGTTGATACCTAAGGTTCTCTCTCTCGTGTTTGCAGTGTCAAGCGTCCTGCAGGCATGTCGAGCATCCTGAATCGTATTGGGGGAAAGAAACAGAAGATGAGTACGCTGGAAAAGTCAAAGATGGACTGGGATGCTTTTAAATCAGAGGAGGGCATCACTGAGGAGCTGGCCATCCACAACAGAGGCAGAGAGGGGTAAGAGACTGCCAGACCACTGGGTGGTGGTGTGGGTTAGGGGCTAGAAATGAAAAATATTTCACCCGTTTAGTGTTTCTCGTCAAAATATATTATTGGGTTGAAAACTCTACAATATTAGTGGGACTTTTAGTGAAACATATGTTGCATCATAGCTGGAAGCAGTTACACAGAAACAGGACTTCGGTATTAGCATTGTTGTTGTTAGCATTGTTAAATGTCAATTTTCTCAATGAATTTTGTCTGTGTTTACAAGAAAATGGATGTAGATTTTTAAAATAGTTTTAAATAAAAAAAATATCACAACATAATATACTCAAATTCAACAAAAGCAGATATAAACCCACAACTTCACAATTTAGTAAGGACACAATTCAGTCTTTTCTGCTTTGTACAAAAAAGCAAAAGCAACCAAACTATTTTAGCTTTTGTTCATTTAAAATGTTAAAAATCAAGGAAATTTCTCTTTGCTGTATGGAAAACGTACTGAACCTTGACACTTCTGTGTCGTATTGAACCAAACCATGAATTTTGTGGACCATTACACCCCTAGTGTCCAACTGATATCAGATCATTTTATCTTACTATCAGAGATTAATCTACACTGAACAAAAATATAAACGCAACACTTTTGTTTTTGCTCCCATTTTTCATGAGCTGAACTCAAAGATCTAAAACATTTTCTATACACACAAAAGACCATTTCCTCACAAATATTGTTCACAAATCTGTCTAAATCTGTTTTTGTGAGCACTTCTCCTTTGTCTAGATATTCCATCCTACCTCACAGGTGTGGCATATCAAGATGCTGATTAGACAGCATGATTATTGCACAGGTGTGCCTTAGGCTGGCCACAATAAAAGGCCACTCTAAAATGTTCAGTTTTATCACACAGCACAGTGCTACAGATGTCGCAAGTTTTGAGGGAGCGTGCAATTGGCATGCTGACTGCAGGAATGTCCACCAGGGAAGCTCATCTGCATGCTTGTCGTCCTCATCGGGGTCTCTACCTGACTGCAGTTCGTCGTCGTAACCGACTTGAGTGGGCAAATGCTCACATTCGATGGCTTCTGGCACGTTGGAGAGGTGTTCTCTTCACGGATTTTCACTGTTCAGGGCAGATGGCAGACAGCGTGTGTGCCGTTGTGTGGGTGAGCGGTTTGCTGATGTCAACGTTGTGGATCGAGTGGCCCATGGTGGCGGTGGGGTTATGGTATGGGCAGGCGCATGTTATGGACAACGAACACAGGTGCATTTTATTGATGGCATTTTGAATGCACAGAGCCATACCGTGACAAGATCCTGAGGCCCATTGTTGTGCCATTCATCCACGGCCATCACCTCATGTTGCAGCATGATAATGCACGGCCCCATGTTGCAAGGATCTGTACACAATTCCTGGAAGCTGAAAACATCCCAGTTCTTGCATGGCCAGCATACTCACCGGACATGTCACCCATTGAGCATGTTTGGGATGCTCTGGATCGGTGTATACGACAGCGTGTTCCAGTTCCTGCCAATATCCAGCAACTTCACACAGCCATTGAAGAGGAGTGGACCAACATTCCACAGGACACAATCAACAACCCGATCAACTCTATGCGAAGGAGATGTGTTGCACTGCGTGAGGCAAATGGTGGTCACACCAGATACTGACTGGTTTTCTGACCCCCCCAGACCCCCCCAATAAAGCAAAACTGCACATTTCAGAGTGGCCTTTTATTGTGGCCAGCCTAAGGCACACCTGTGCAATAATCATGCTGTCTAATCAGCATCTTGATATGCCACACCTGTGAGGTGGGATGGATTATCTCGGCAAAGGAGAAGTGCTCACTAACACAGATTTAGACAGATTTGTGAACAATATTTGAGGGAAATGGTCTTTTGTGTGTATAGAAAATGTTTTAGATCTTTGAGTTCAGCTCATGAAAAATGGGAGCAAAAACAAAAGTGTTGCGTTTATATTTTTGTTCAGTGTATATCAGTGTATAAGTTGGCTGTTCAGTATCAAGAAACTGCAATACCAAAAGGCCAAAGATTTTTTGGCAGGACATTTTTGAGTAGTCTGTTGTGTCACGTAGTCTCGTGAACGTGAACGTGATATCTCAAGAATGCCTTGTGGTGATTTTTTATCAAATTTGGCACAAACATTCACTTGGATTCAACGATGAACTGATTCGACTTTGGTGGTCAAAGGTCAAGGTCACTGTGACCTTGTCTATCTCAATCTCGTGAACTTAGTTTCTCGATAACACCTTAAGGGATTTTTTTTTCCTTTCTTAATTTGACACAAACGTCCACTTGAACTGAAGAATATGCTGATTAGATTTTTTTGGTTAAAGGTCAAAGGTCAAGGTCAGTGTGACCTCACAAAACATGTTTTTGGCCAAAACTCAAGAATTCAAATACATAATGGTCAGGAGAGGCTTTGTGTAGCTTCCATCACAGAGAGAAACCAAAGAGTATTACATCCCAAATGTGCAGGAAGTACAGTAGGCCAAGATTAAACCAGGAATATCTTAAAGCAAAGTGGACATTAACACCAGCTCACTGGGTCTCTACTACTTTAGTACTTGAGTCTCTACAGACCTCTATGGGTTTGAGATGAAGAGGGGTTCATCATTTTCATGAAGTATGTCCTTGTACTTTTATTATTAAATGTTATAGTGAACCAACAACCAACATTGGTTCATGTGACATACTAATTTACAGTGCAAATTGGTGACGATTCCATCCTTCATTAATAGCTCTTCACAGTCATTAATGCCAAAATGCTGACATGGCTCCACCACAGTGAGCAGGCCTGATGGAAAACACAGAGTTTTTAATTATGAAGCAGTAGCTGGAAAGTAGTGAGTGTAAATGGAGGGACACGTTGTTCCATATGAGTAGGAATCATGCTTTAGTCTGGATGGAGAGAGGGAGCCAATGGAAGCCTGGCTGCCCCAGGGAAATAACATGAATCTGTGATGTATGCACTTTGTTAGCTCCTTCACTGTCATTCTGTGCCTCACACACACACACACACACACACACACACACACACACTCAACATGTACTAACTTCCAACCAAGCAGAAGGATGGGGGCTAATTTAAAAACACTTAGACACAACAGGGAGTCAAATTATTCCACACACACACACACACACACACACACAAACACACTGCAGGAAAAGTTGTGTATCTGCATTCTGTGTTGGAGGGGAAGAAGTGGAAAGAGATGTGATTTAGGGGTGGGAAACTGTGTGAGCGGTGTGTGTGTGTGTGTGTGTGTGTGTGTGCGTGCATGTGAAGAACACATTGCTTCTATACTCTTTGTCCTAAATTGTATTTTCAGTGTGTTTGTGCTTGTTATGATAAAAGTAGGTCTAATGTTCTCTTTCTGTGTGTGTGTGTGTGTGTGTTTAGGTATGTGGAGCGGAAGAACTTCTTGGAGCGCGTCGACCACCGCCAGTTTGAGTTAGAAAAAGCAGTGCGACAGAGCAACATGAAACAATGACACACACACACAGAGTAGAACAGATGTTTAGACTTCCTGTATCTTGCTTTCTCTCTCTCTAATGACACAGTTGCCGTTCCTCCAGTAAAGTGAGCTCAGACTGGTGCTGTGGCTCGAGTCTATTTCAGGACGGGGATATTAATAGGGTGAGTTTGTGGAATGATGGGGTGTTGAGTGTTCTTGTACTTCCATCCTTGTGAGAACCAATTTGATTTTCAAACCTTCACACTGAGGGCATTTTTTGGGGAAGTGAGGTCATTCTTGCCTGTCCTACTTCCTCACAGGGTTGTGTCAGGGCTAAAACTTAGTTTTGGGGTAAAAGAATAAATCCAGTTTATACATTTACTTTTATAGTTTTGTCCATTATTTCTACCTGTCATGATGATGTCTTCACGAAGTTAACTGCTGAGATCTGGGAACACAGTGATGCCATACAAAAAAGTCTGATAGGTCAAGAAACATGAACAGCCAGGTGATCTATTGTGGAAGTAAAACCCAAGTTGAAGTAAGCCAGAGATACTCTAATACTTAAATCAGATACTCTAATACTTAAATCAGTATGTATGTTTTTATGTACCATAAAAATCTGCCCCTACCCAACAAGTTGAAAGGTAACCTATAACTCTGCCTCTTCCTGCTGTCTCAAGCTGCCCTTAGACAGCTGCACACAGCACCTTCCTCTGCAGATCCATACAGCAGCATCTCTTCAGGAGACTTCAGGACAAAGGGATTGTTTGGATTTTTTGAAGTGGAGTTGTGTGAGCTACTTGTCCATAGTCAGTGTATTACATACATTAGATGTCAGTCAGGACAACCCCATTACTGAAGGCCAAAAGCCGTTACTGGCTTCAGTTCCCCATCTATGCCCTCGTCAAAGCCACCAGACTACATTGAGAGAAACAGTGATTTAACATCCCTGAACATAGGAGCTGCTGGTCTACCGCTGCTTTAATCTGTTTGTTTGTGTTATTGTGTGACTTTGGTGAATCTGAACTAACCCTTTTAAATGCAAAAGTCACACAATAACACTGTTTGAGGCAACGGTAGACCGTCAGCTCCGATGTTCAGTAATGTTAAATCACTGTTTTTCTCAATGGAGTCTTGTTCTGAAGAGAGCGATAGAGTGACAATAGGTTTCTTGGCTTATATGTCAGACTCCACCTGCTTCTCCAAGGTAGGGGCGTGCTGACGTATGTGTATACTGTCTATGGTAAGTATGTGCACGTTTTTCTGAGTGTACTAACCAAAAAGACTGTTGCAAACATCATACAGTAGCACACTACCCAGCACTATGACATCTAAATTTCAAATTCTTTTTGATGACATCCATTTTTTATTACAGAAATTTAGATGTCATAGTGCAGGGTAGTGTGCTGCTGTATGATGTTTAAATTTCTGTAATAAAAAATGGATGTCATCAAAAAGAATCTGAAAGATTGAAACTGTATTAAAATTCTACAGATAGGGGCTTTAATCAGCAGAGGGATAGATGCTGTGAGGTCTGGTTAAATTAATGCAGTTGTTGAATGGATTTTTCATTGTTTCAGTGTTCAACCAATAATGTTTTTTCAGATCATTAATGATGTTTTTGGATTGGAAAAAAAATGTGTTAAAATCTTTGTCATACTGTTTAAACCATCATGCAACACTGAAACACCCTGCTGACCACTGTAAAAATGATAACATGTATTCATGCATTCAGGTGAAAAGCTTTCTGGGGACACTGTACAGAGCACTGTAATGCAGATCAATACCACAATAGAAATGTAATCAATTAGTCTGCGTCTCATCCATCATAAATGAGAGGACCACACTGACTGCCGATCCCTCAGGTGCTCTTTTGTCCTAGTTGTGAACAAACGTGGAACAAAGGCAGAGGGGTGAGAGGAGGATTGATGCAGAAGAGGGAGATTTGATGTTTTATTTGTTTAACTGTTGGGTCTTGACGCAGCTCTCTGTTTGTTCATGTAAATATTAGATATTCAATAAACACAAACAGGTCATTTTAAGTAAGCTGGTTGATTTATTTTTGTTTGCCGAGTCAAACTGTTTGTTCTGTAAAGTAGGCTGTGAAGAGTCTCTGTATCAAACATTGTTCTTCTACCCCCTGTTGAAAATTTTACTGAATGGATCGCTTATGGAGCCCCAAATGATCAATATTAAATGAATAAGACATTATGAAATGAATAAGGCAGATGCTGTTAGCACCTATGTTTAAATAGCTAATGTGGCTGTTCACACCCAGGTGTATATCACAGCAAAGATGAGCACTAAGGTGTCCGTAGCCAACAATGCTATTTACACCGGTTGGCTATTAACACCTGGGTGGTTATTCCTGAGCATCCTGCAATGTTGAAATATGACATTAACAAAAATAGGTTTATTAAGCTTGAAGACAACAGCAGATGAAGTGCTTATGTGGGTTGCAGTATCATGGTATCCAGGAAGGTGCTCTTTGGTCAGGAAGTGTAGAACATCTTGAAAAAAACAAAATCCAAGGCAACTCTTCTCTGGTGCAAAAGTTAAAAGGCCTTTATTAAATGGCTAGTTCATGATGAACATTAAAATCACCAACATGTTTTGGCCATGCTCACTGGCCTTCATCAGGGCATATAGCTGCAGGGTTCACAGGTGGCCTAAATGAGGCCCTACTCAGACATGGGTGGAGCCAATCAGCACTCCATTTGCCAGACTGCAGGCATATAAGCAAAACTCCCTTTACACAATGCACTCATAACTAGAAACCTGCATCATAGGGCCAGTAGGCAAACATTGAGAATATAACAGATATAATTAGAAAAAATCACAATAAACCATCAACAGGTCAAATTCTATAAGGAGAACAAGAAAATATATATACATAAACTG